AATGAGGCACTAACTATTGTAAAATACATAAATTATTAGTGATAACTAAGATAATATCGTAATAGAAATCGTACATTTCTTGACGTCAATTGTAAGACATAAAAGAAAATTCGTACTTTCACTAATCCAATTAGGATGCAAGCCAATTTTAATCTTACTGCAGTCGGCAAAAATTATATTGCGATAGATAAAAAGACTGCAATTGTACATGTGGTCAATGCTTCTTGTAAAACTTTCATTCTCCACATTCATAGCAATCGTGAGAACAAAATAAGAAATAGATCGCCGTTATATTTCGGACTCAATAAAGTTAAAAACAATTCAAACATAAACCGATATAATTTTTTGTTACTAAAAATAATGCATTGAAAAATGAAATGAAAAATAATAATTTAATAATAAAATTAATGTATTGCAATACATAATAAGTAGGTACATTTCATATCTGAGGCCTAAAATCAATTATTTACATATTTATTGCCAGTAGTTTACAGTTCAGTTACAGTTTAATAATATGACAAATTTTAAGGTTCATAGTGGTAGAGAAAAGTTCTCCAAGGTAATATCTAACTACATGAAATTATCGATAGTACGCCGTTCCCTGTACTTTCACCTTCGTTGTTACCTACATTATTTCAATATTATCCAGCTTTAGCTTTTCATGAACATACTTAGTTTGTTTAAATATTATCTGACAAGCTTTCAATATATTCTAAACACCTATGACACCTAAAAGATAAGATAATCGTTCTTCTTACTTTTTACAGATATTTTTGTAACAAATTAATCTTCATAAGTATAGTATAATTGATTCTCTTCTTTCAAGAGTATTAAGCAAAATTCTCTCATTGCATTGTCTTATGAATTAATGACACTCAGTCTTTTAAATAATTGTGAGACGAGATACACTTTCGACAGTTCCACGCGCACGCCACTAAGTTGGAATTGGATCAAATATAAAAATGTGATAAATAGGAAGTACAGTGCAAGCTTGGTTCACGATTAGCAGAGATATGGTAAAAGCTTACTTACCAATAAATTCATGACGAGAAAGCAAGGCTCAGCTCGATGCGTTCAAGGGTGGAGTGTATCTGAGGCGGCCGCGCGGTCACCGGAACAACTTTATAGCCAGCTACGTAAAAGGCGGGTTTCGGCTGTGGAGACGGGGATGTGACTTCGTATCGCATGCCACCTCCACCAGGACTGCGACTGCAACAGTTTAACGGCTGATCGTTCCACAAAACTGGCTTTTCAGTTCGCCTATACCCTATTTTTTCGCTTCGCTAACGCTGATGATCTCTAATCGAAGAGAGTAGCTTTTACAACTGATCGTGGCATTGATACGCCGTCATATGACGGGTTAAGTATGCCAGATTACTATGTTCCATCAGAAATCATATTTCCATCAATCAATTTTAGCGCAACATTAGATTTCAGCTATTTTAATCATCTTCTATTTTACGTGTGATATTCGAAACATAAGAATAAAAAATTACGATCAGTCTAATCAGTTGCACTTAATATTAAAATAAAGTTATAAAAGTTATCTCGAGAAAATGTATTTTGATCTTGTTTAAAAAAATGTGTGGATGCGATTGCATCGTCGGAAAATGCTGAAGCCATCGTGAAGGAATGTGATTCAAAGACACGTTTCCCAGGCGTTGGTAACTATTCAAAGGTTACCGTGCAACGACCGTGTGCATCGTTTAATGCACCTGTGCACATTGAACTTATTGTTAGGTAATCGTCGGAAACAAATATCAAAACAAACACGAACCGCTTACAAGTCATTCATGAATATTCATCTCGTTCTTGAATTCATTGAACATCAATGAATTAATTACATAAAATTGTAATCGACTGTTTTCTTTTTTCTTCTATTATTTATGAAGCGAGTACAAAAGAAATGATTTTATAATCACGGAAAGACATAAATTCTCATTGATAAGTGAAATCAGACGCATTGAAATACTTTCAAGCTTAATCTTATTAGGTCTTACCGTACAGTTTTTACGAGACGACTTGGTAAGAAAGTAGATGCTCGCAAGAAGCTGTACATAGTATGAAAATTTACGTAACCACGACGGTAGATATTTATCAGAAATAGAGAATAAACTCCAGATCTTGCAACGAGATTAACGTTGAATAATTACTTACCACTTCATTTAAAGCATAGATCTCTTACTACAATATTTCGAAACGAAATAGTTTGAACAAATACAACGAAAAGCGAACAGGACGTAATAACCAAACGCGAATATGAAAGTAAATGTATAATTAAGGAAGTTGCAAACTCGCAGATTACAGCCGCACAATCGCGTTCTAAAGAATCATATGTGTAGCAAACGTTTGTTACATTCTAAATCAAGTATGAAGAAACCCGGTAAAGCATATCACAATGTATCGATAGTACACTCTATCCGGAAGAGAGAGGAGATATCCGAATAAAATAGAAAATGCACGAGCAAACCATAATACAATCACGTTTCACGTGTCGAGTCATTGCACTTGACCATTTCCGGTTTTCTTAAATGAAATTAAACCTTTTGTGTGTTCCAGATAGGAGCGAGGAAACCAGTTTCTAAGTTCAATTATCCTTGTCTTTTTATTTGTAATATCGGTTGCTTCAATGACACCTCGGATCAACGAACCCGCAGCCGGAGATGAATTATGCATTTCTACTTGCAGGTTGGATAAAAACGAAAGTACGAACGTGTAATCGTTAAAAGTAACGCGATGCGTGAAGGCCACGAGACCCATCTTACACGAGCTCTTCCTTGTCCGGGGAAACGCTGTCAATTTCGTTACGAAACCGGAGACTTAATTCCCCTGTATGATTTTCATCGCGCTGCGCCAAATAATAAGGTACGGCCACTAGGAGCCGAGGTATGTGTTCTATTACGTTTTGTTCGGGCAGCCTACAATTAACGGCTTCACGCGTGAACCGGAAGTTTTGTAACGAGTAAGGAAACGGCGATTAATGTGGTTTGCTTAACAGATCTATTCGATGAATTAAGAAACATTCATCTTAGTGCATGAAAGAAAAGCTATTAGAAAGATCTCGCTCTTTGTTCCTTAAATTGTGATTTGTTTAGTGTTCTGAAAATTGTAGAAAGCAGAGATAGTAATGGAATGTCTGATTATTTTATTTCTTTCGATGTTGATTGATTTAACAGTTTATTCAAGCGTACACGGTCAATGAGAGATAAATGTCTATTCATCGATTTTTAACTATAATTTGGTTACTCCAGCAAAATTTGCTATTTCTAATATTAATTGAATTTAAAAAGAAAGCTGGTTTAGTTATCTACGGATTACTTAATTCTGTTTAACGCACGTGTTTATTAGAAAGGTGGAAATCATCCGACTTTCTACGCGAGTTTAATACGTATAGATTCGTTTGTAAACTCGAAACTTCTTCCTCGAGCGTTGATCTCAATAAATTCTGCTCCTCGGAAGTCGATCAATCGATAATCGTTTCGTAACCGAGCTCACGTTTACTTTTACGCCGGAAGTTCCGTTCACTCGCTCGCGCGTGAGAACCGTATCCATCTATAGGAACGAGGAACCTTTTCAGCAATTAATTCGTCTTGTTAAAGGATCTGTCGATGAAATAGAAAGTACACACTTCGAAAGTTGATTTTCTTTATTATTGTAGAAAACTTTTATAGTACAAAATGAATCGTCTAACTACAGTACTAATATTTGTATTGATCGTGATAAATAATGTATGTGAGTCATGCAGAGATCAGATATTTTAATTGCTTTTTCTAAGAGAAAGGTTCCTCTTTAATAGGAAATCTTTAACATAGAATTATACAATATATTCTAGGTCGAATATATGTATAAGTACAGAGCACCAGAACGTTACAAACTATCGTAGTCTCGTTATTGCATATCAAAAAATTAACAAACAATCATGCCCATTTAAAGCTGCAAAAATATTAAAAAAATTAAGTAGAAGTTAAAGTGACACGTTAAAGATAAAAATCGATATCTTGTGCAACTAAGAAATATCGAATGTTAATTAAACCAGAAAGTGTACAGCTTTCTTTATTTTTTAACGCGTTGAAACGAGACAAATGTATATCTATAGGAATTATAATTCACTATTGTAATATGAATTTTATATAATCCAATCTTTAACAATTTTAAATGCTGTACAATCTCAAGTATTTCTAACAGACATGAAAGAAGAGAGCCTCAATCCCCGGTATTACATTCAATAATTCCCCTAATCATCCTCAACGCGTCAATCTACGAAATAAACCGGTTAATTAAATCAATGCCTCTGATTCTCTTCAACAGGCTTGGTGATCTCGAAATCGTCTTCGTATCGACCATGATTCACATAATAAATTTTGCTGCGATACTGATACGGTTCCTTAACCTCGGCCTCAGCGGAGATCTGCTTTGGTACAAACAGAGTCTTCGGTTTGTAACTAATGCTGTTCGCAATTACATCGTAAGGCAACCTTGCCTGGTAATGCAGCAATTGCTGAATCTCTTTAGGCATACTCTGATCAAGAATTAATTTCTGAGGAGAGGGTGCTGGTAGTCTCTCAATAGGCACAGGTATATGCTCCACTTGTGTCCCTTGCTGCTGCTGTTGTTCGTACTCGTTTTGTTGCTGCTGCTGCTGCTGCTGTTGTTCGTAGTCATTTCGTAGTTGTTGTTGCTGCTGCTCATAATCATCCTTGTATACAATCCTACCCTGGGATCTTCTGTTCGTGTAATCTCGTCTGGACTTAGATTGCTCCGATTGCTCGTAGCCACTAGAAGATTGCTGGTAACCGTGATTCCTAGGTTGCTGATCGTACTGTTGGGCTGTCACGAAATCCGATTGATACAGTTCAGCCCTCGGCTCGCTGTAAGTGCCTTGCGTCTTGTAACTCTCCAAAATTCGTTTAGCGTGAGTGGTAGCGTCTGTGAACCTAGTATCCTGATTTTGTTGATTTTGCTGTGGTTGCTGCTCGGCTTGAGGTGCTGGGTATACTTTGTACTGAAACTGATCGGGGTTCTGCTCCTCGAATTGCTGCGGCTGAACATATCTTCCGTATTGTATCTGATTAGAAATCTGCTGCGTTTCCGGTTGGATCTCAGGTTGAGAATAAGCTCTATGGTAATCCTCGCCGACTTGGAGTAATGGAGATTGAGACTGGCTTGGATTTACTTGAGTTTGCTCGGATTGAGTCGCTTCCGCTTGTTGAGACTGTTGTTGGGAATTCTGCAGATGAGCACGCCATTGGTTCTGAGGAGCGAAGTACTTCCAATCGACCTTCAGACCTGACACCACGTTTAAGGATAAAATTATTTTATACAAATATTTCTTAGGAC